TACCTTCTGCAACATATGCTAGATATGCTCCCCGCCCTTCTGAATTGCTTTGATAGCCTCTATTCAAGACAAAGAGACCACATGTAGGTCATTTTGGTGCATTTCGGTAAATTGAACAAGGTCTCCCTACTCTTAGACTCTTAGCAACTATAACATGGTCAGTAGATTGTGGAAAGGAATCTGCACTCTTCAAGCATCCAAGAAATAACACCTAAACAGGCAAAATCTCAAATAAAAATCAAAGAGAACCAGAAAATTACTGTCTAAGCTCCAACTCTCTCTTGCGAATCAGTCCTTCTAAACTAGTTGATCCAAGAGAAAGATATACGCCTAAACTTTGAGCTGACTCAAGAAGAGAAGGGAAAATTATATCAAATCCGATAGGACAGTGTTGCTTCTCATCAGTGATTGAAGCAATGTTTGACTCAATAAATTGAAGACCTACAAAATAAGGAAAAAAGTGTTGTTCTTTTGAAAGAATGAAAAATGCCTTAATATAACAGCAAACAAAGAAATCAAGCTACATGCAGAAGGCCATAATTACCTCTGGTAGTTTGTTGTTCACCAACACCCCATTGCTTCAGAGCAAGGACAGAAGCTAAGGTAGATAAGAGAGCATCTTTCAATAACAAAGGATGATGACCAGGAAGACCCCACGAACCATCAAATAGTTGATTCTCCAATAACCAATTCACGCACTCAGGGAAAAAGGGGACATCAGGAGAATTTATTGAAGGGACCATTGCTACCCAAGCCGTATCATATGAAGAAATAGAAAGTTCAACCTTACTGAACATCTTCTTGATTTTTTCTTTAGTCCCCTCAAGGCACTGCATGCAATAAAAGCCAAATTTCATTTCCTTGTTAGTCCTCAGTTCTCACTAAAATATATCCAGATAAAGAGATGCTAAAAATAGGAAAGCCATACCAAAGCACTGCTGCTCATCTTTTTCTTCACATCTGATTCAACTGACAAACAAGCTGTTGGAAAAGAAATCACATGAGGCTTTCAAACAATAATTCATTGATTTATATGTGCATAGAAAACATGATGAAATGGGGCATTGGAGCTCATTTGGTACCCATGATGCAATGGAACAATAGAATGAAACAGAAATGATATTTTAAAAACTTGAAAATAATCATGGTTTCCGTTTTTGTATGGCTCATTTGGTGCACATGATGAAATGGAACAGAAATATTCATTGTTGTAATTCTTTTGAGTAAGGAATCACTCCTTGAACTCACCCAAAAAAAAAAAAAACTTTAAAAAGGTAATTATAAAAGATAAAAAAAATTAAAAAAAAAAAAAAGAGATGAAAAGGAAGGAAGAAAAGAGATTCCTTCCGACGCTTCCTCTCTACCAAACAAGACATTAGTCCATCAATGACATTCACCCAAGAAATCCGCTCTACTTTGCATGTGGAATTAACAGATGTTTAATGACATTATAATAAAGGGTCATTATAATTGAAATTAGGGAGAACGCGCAAGGAATGTAATTAAGAGGCGTTGAGATTTGGATCTTTGATTTAGCGGAGCCTCAGTCTGTCCTAACTCCTAACTCTCGAGCTTCAGATAATGGACTGTTTGCTCTTCAAACAAGAAATATATAGCGTCCTGATTAAAGGTATTGGAACAAGAGACCCCATTATTTTGACATGCAAAAAGTGAAACACGACTACTGTGCTTGTTTTAAATTATTGAATATTGACTTGACTGCAGATAACAATCATGCAGAAAGAAGTTTGAAAATACTGGCAAAAAGGCAACATCACACAGAGAGAACCCACCCAGATCACTAAGACGGTGAGTATACAGAAGAAGATGATGGCAGAAAAGACAGCAAAGGAAAAAAATAAACAAAAAAAGAAAATGCTACATTTATAACAGAAAAGAGAAAAACAACAGCAGAGAAGCAATCTGGGCGTCGCAAACCCCCTCGAATATTCGATTGGGAAAGTTGGTGAAAGAAAATGACAAACAAAACCTGTTAAGTTTTGAAACTTTACCGAGCACATGAAATGAAAGATAACAACATTAGAACATTCTGGGCATCTGGAATCAACAGAAAATAAGAAGGAAAGCAAGTGGAAAAACTCAAATTCCCTCCTCCAGTAGTGAAGGTGGCATAATACACGCAGAGATAGAACGACATGCAGAAGGGGAAGAAAATGAAAACCTGAAGCTGAAGTGAGATTCAGAGCTGCAATGGGGCGTGTGAGAGACATTCTCGTCTCTCAGATTCTCGGAAATTGGAGAAAATATTCTCCAAAATGAAGCTCACGCAGAATCCCCACCACAGATCCAGGGTGATTGTGATCGACTCAGTTCGCATATATTTCGGGAAAAAGGTAAATACCGAATAGTTAGTTACTAGAGAGAGGATGAGTGTGTGACGTGTCTTAAGGCTAAGTTATATACCTTGTACTGCCTGAATTGCGATTCGTGAAGAATATTCTGTTATTTCTCCTTTTACACTTATCAAATGTATCAGAGCCTTTGCTCTCTGGCCCATGGCACCGCCGGAGACGCGATCCTCGACGGAGCGTCTTGGAGACATTGAGCGTCGTCTCGACCTTCAACAAACCATCCTGAATTCTGTTACGGTCCGTATGGAGCAACAGTCGTCGAACATTGCCAACCTCAAGGTAACGTTGCAAGATATCTCGGCCAAACTCTCGGGTCTGCATTCTCCTGCCGGTAAGCAACCTGTGTCTGGCGAGGGGTCTTCGCAACCACAAGCTTCCCCGTGTATCCCGACATTTGGGTCCTTTCATGAGTCACATTCTTTGGGTCCCTCTTCTGGTTATTCGATTGCTACAAAGCAGAGCAGAGTTGAATTCCCCAAATTCGATGGATCCGATTTTCGTGGGTGATTATTTTAGTGGACACTGGAAGTACGCACAATGTGTTGCATACGTCCGTAGCTAAACTCCTTCAATTGAAGCCCCAAGAATGGAATGCTATTCAACTCACAGTAGCTGACGCTCGCCAGGCAATGGTCTCTAAATATTGTCCTAATCTGTCTTGGGACATGGGAAATTCTACCTTATCTGCTGACTTTTTGGTGATGAAAATTGGGGGGGGTATGATATGATTTTGGGGACTCAATGGTTGAGAACCATCGGGTGGTTTACTATGGATATCGAATTGCGGCTGTTCGAATTTACTTACAATGGGAAAAGGGTCGAGTTACATGGCATGGGGTATTTACCCTCACCGAATCTGACTGAGCTCTCTTCAAACCATGAGTTTTTTGCGGCTGCCGTCAAGTTCCTTATAAATGCTTCCTCTTCCTTGCAAGTGGGAATAAAAAATAATGCTTCTCTTCCAGCAGGGCATCAGTAAGAGTTGCGTAAGTTATTAGACACCTATGCTAATAGTTTTGCAGAACCGACAGAATTACCCCCTTCCAAGCCTTTTGATCATGCGATACCTCTTCTGTATGATAAACCTATCAGCTGTAGACCTTACCGGTATGAGCCAGTTCAAAAGACAGAGATAGAAAGACAAGTTCATGAGATGCTTCAGAACAGAATTATACGAGAGAGTTCTAGCTCTTTTGCCGCCCCTCTTGTCTTAGTTCAAAAGAAAGAAGGTGCTTGGCGTTTTTATGTTGATTACCGGAGGTTGAATGAAGCTATTGTTAAGAACAAATTCCCCATACCAATGATTGAAGAACTTTTGGATGAGCTCACTGGTGCTGTTTTCTTTTCTAAGTTGGATTTACAGTCGGGCAACCATCAAATAAGAATGAAATTGGTGAATATTTCCAAAACAGCCTTCCGGACACATGAGGGTCTTTATGAATTTGTTGTGTGATGCCCTTTGGGCTTACAAATGCTCTAGCAACTTTTCATGGCCTTATGAACTACATCTTCAAGGCATTCCTACAGAAATTTATCTTAGTTTTCTTCGATGACATTTTAGTCTACAGCAAAGATTGGGGTTCCCATATGCGACACTTGGATTTGGCTTTATCTACACTAAGACATCATAAATTATTTGCAAAGCTCTCTAAGTGCATTTTCGCTGCCACTCAAATTGATTATTTGGGCCATATTATTTCTGCGCAGGGTGTCCAAGATGATCCATAGAAACTTGAAGCAGTGGCTGCTTGGCCTGTTCCAACTAATCTTAAGGAGCTACGTGGGTTTTAAGGCCTCATGGGGTATTATCGACGATTCATCCGCAATTATGGTCTAATCAGCAAACCACTCTCAGATTTGCTAAGGAAGGATACACCATTCCAAAGGTTTGCTGCCGCAAATGAGGCTTTTGTCTTGTTGAAAAAGCTTATGACTTCCCCTCCGGTGTTGGCACTTCCCAATTTCCAGCAACCCTTCACTATTGAAATTGATGCATCGGGTACAAGGTTGGGAGCTGTCCTTTCACAGAATGGCCATCTAGTGGTTTTGCTAGTAAGGCCTTAGCTTCTAAGAAGAAACCTCTACCTGCCTATGAGCGTGAATTATTAGCTATTATTTTTGCTGGGCGACAGTGGAGGTCTTACTTGTGCAGCCGTAAATTCATTATCAAGACCAATCATTTACCCCTTAAACACTTATTGGAGCAACGAGACTTGAATCAGGATCAGTTTAAGTGGCTTCACAAGTTGTGGGGGTTAGACTATGAAATTGTTTATCGAAAAGGGAGCAAGAATGTAGCTGCCGATGCCTTGTCCAGGCAGGCAGAAGGGTCCTGTTTGGCCGTAATTACACCAGTTTCTCCACTGTATGAGCAAGTGCACGACTCTTGGTTGTCTGATGATCATCTATAGTGGTTAATTTCGAATATGGAACAGGACCCTGCTTCTCACAACAAATATACATGGCAGCATCAACTATTGAAACGCAATGGGAAATTAGTAGTTGGAGCTGATAGAACGCTTCGACATGATCTGTTGTCATATTTTCATGAAGTGGCATTGGGGGGCCATTCGGGAATGCATCCAACTTTCATGCGACTTTCTTCTTTTTTCTATTGGAAGGGATTAGAAAAAGATGTCCGGAACTTTGTCCGAGAATGTGTCATATGCCAGAGATTTAAACTTGAATTAATTGCTTCACCGGGTCTTCTCCAACCTTTACCAGTTCCAGAACATGTGTGGACTGATCTTTCCATAGATTTCATTAGTGGCCTTCCAAAATCACACTCTAAATCTACTATCTTAGTAATCGTTGACAGGCTCTCTAAGGCAGCAGCACATGTTATGGCCTCAAGACATCCCTATACAGCAATGGATGTAGCTCAGATTTTTCTGGATAATGTGGTCAAGTTACATGGTTTCCCTAAGACGATAGTGACAGATAGAGACCCTATTTTCTATGGAAAATTCTAGAAGGAGTTGTTCCGTTTGTATGGGGTCAAACTCCACTATTCTTCTGCATATCATCCTCAAACAGATGGCCAAACGGAGGTTTTGAATCGTTGCTTGGAATGCTACCTTCATTGCATGACAGGATTTCCCTAAAAAGTGGTAAAGTGGTTGCCTTTGGCTAAACTGTGGTATAATACCACATATCACTCTTCTATCGGCATGTCCCCTTTTGAGGCAGTTTATGGTGTTGCTCCTCCTGTCCACTTGCCTTATATTGCAGGAGACTCATCTAATGACCTGGTTGACCGCACATGCCTTTCCAGGGAACTTGTTTTACAGCTTCTGAAGCAGCATCTATGGAAAGCACAACACCGGATGGTTCAACAGACCAACAAGCATCGATCTGAACATCATTTTAATGTGGGGGGCATGGTCTATTTGAAATTACATCCTTTTAGGCAAAATTTGCTGAACAATTCCTCCCTTCACAAACTGGCTGCCTATTACTTTGGTCTTTACAAGGTGCTGAAAAAAATAGGTCCTGTGGCTTATGAGCCAGAGTTTCCACCAGAGACCCATATTCATCCTGTTTTTCATGTGTCTCTCCTCAAGAAACACGTGGGTCCAGCAAATACCCTTGCTCCCTTCTTACCACCTATTGATACCCAAAGCCATTTTACGCTGGAACTAGAGGAGATTTTGGGCCGTAAGATTGTCAAGCGCAATAGTGTCGCTGTGACTCAAGTTTTGGTTCACTGGAAATTTGCTCAACCTGAGGACGCTACTTGGAAGGACCTCTCCCTCATTAAACAGCAATTTCCTGAGTTTCCTACCGCTACATCACCCACCAGGACAATCCTTGTGGACAAGGATTCCTTCTAAGGGAGGGAGTATTGTTCCGCACCATTCTGGTAAGGGGCCTATACGGTAATTATATTTCAGGAAAAAGGTAAATGCCAAATAGTTAGTTACTAGAGAGAGAATGAGTGGGTGATGTGTCTTAAGGCTTGCTTATATACCTGTACTGCCTGAATTGCGATTCGTGAATGAATATTCTGTTATTTCTCCTTTTCCACTTATCAGAGAGAGAGATGCGCACCCTTCAGTACTTCACTTACTCACCCAGCACCGAAGATAGCACACTCTCCTTCCACATACGCTCGAATGTATGTATGTGTATATAATGGTAAATTTTATAATTAGCTCCTCTATATATTCTGGGTCATAAATTTTTACCAACTATAATGTTTTTTAAAATGAAATCAATTGATTATTATTTCATATGCATGTTTTTAATAGAATTAATATTGCATTGTAATTTTATAAAAAATTGGATAATATATAAATTAAACTTTAAATCTTAATAAGCTTTATTAAAATATTAAAAATAAGTATATTTTTTAGAAGAATATTTTTAAATAATTTTCTGAAAAATATCAAACTAAAGAGACAAAAAAAAAACATTTTAGCGCGCTTCAAAATAATGAAATTGAATTGAAGTATAAATGATGTTTGAATTCATACTATCTTTTTTTGTTTGAATCGAGTTCAAACTATTTTATTGTAGTACTTAAATAAAACAAACTTATGTCATAATTAATCAGGGAGCCAAAAATGAAATGAATAATAATTAATAACGAAGTTTTTGTACTTTGTGAATAATAATTAATAAAATTGAATTGAAACATGCACACACATATAATAAACACATTAATTTGAATATTAGTGGCAATACTTTGCACAGTGATACATTGAATGTGTTCATGAAGGAAGGCATTGGTTCATTATTTGGAATTAATCATATTCTAAATGAATGCATTTGCATTTGTATATATGAAGATTGTTGAATGTTGAAATTAGAAACAGTTACTATCATTTAAATACACTATATAATTTTGACCAGGGAGATTTTCTTAACCAGAAATGCTAAGATGAGAATTGAGAATAAAATTTTTTTAACCTTTTTATGCAATGAAAAATGAAATATTTTAATATTTTATTAATTAAAAAAATGGAACACTATCAATGAGGACAAGAAGGAATCCAATTAGCTTAAAACCAATCGAAGAGGACACCAAAGACCGAACTGGGATCGATAACCTTATGGGAACCTAACGAACAAAAGCATTAATTATTAATTTTTTAATTTTTTTACGTTATCTTGTATTTCTTGAAGTAAAATATTCTCATATTTAATTAGTATTTTATTTTATTAGTTGCATGATAACCCTCAACTAACCTATCGATAAAAAATATTACCTCTGGTCCTTAATATAAAAACTATTTGACTAATTTGAGTAGATTAAGAAAACTAATTAAGTTAGTTATTTGTAATAATAGGTATTGTATATCCTAAAATATTCTTGCTAATCAAGTGTATTCATTAGAACTATCATTATTATAAGGATTAACTCGAGAAAAAATGAGTAAATAGGAGAGATAAAGTGGATTGGGATCTTATATTTAGGATTAATATAAAAGTTAAACAAGGTCTTATATTAAGGACCGGAGGTAGTAACATCATTTCCACCAAAAAAAAAATAACGACATCATTGTGGTGTTATTTTTTACATAAACCAAAAGGTTTCCGTTTTATTATTTTTTAGGTAAAAATTTTCATTTAAAATTAAAGAGGAATTGCAATAAGATCTCAGGAAAGGGATTTAATTATTCTAAAATTTGTTGACATCTGAAGAGTACACAATGACAAGTTTGACAACTAGTTTATGATACTCACTTGTTATTAGAACATCTCGGTAATTAAGTTCTTCTTAAATTACTGGATTAAAAGATAAATAATATTGATAATTAGAACAACAAATCCAAAATAATAACAAGGGTGCTCGTATTCACTAATCATCAACAGGTTAGTGAAAGGAGCTTTTGCAGCTTAAATGTGAGGTTTCAAATTTTAAGTTTGTGTGGAAAAATTATTCTTATTTAAACATGACAATAATAGTTAGATGGTCATATAAAAAATGATATAAGAAAAATGGCAAATAAAGATCTCGAAATTACTAAAATTGTAAAAAGTCACCTGAATAAATCAAATTGTCAGGGGGACTTGATCTCAAATTGTAATTAGCAAATGTTGGTAAAAAGACAAAATTACCCCTCAGTAGATCAGCTTCATTAATGAAAGCTGAGACAAAGAATCTGATCGGTGGAGGCTGGAGGAGAAGATTGGGTGCTACACAAACTTGAAAATCAAGTAAGTAATGTTCTAAGTGACAAAAAACTTTGTATGAATAGTGAAATTCGGGAGGGAAAATATTGGACTTGCAAAGGAAAGATTCCACCCTCATTTGTGAAGAAACTCTTTCCAATCAATTATATTTATGATTGTCTTATAGAGTCAAGCTTAATGTTGCCGATTTAATATTTGAATGATGATTTAATGTTTTCATCTCTGCAGTACTTACAGAAAATTCGTTGCAACTAGTTGGAATGTACTGTTGAAATTGCTGCAAGAGATTATTATTGCTTTATTTAGTTTCGAAATTGAGTAAAAGTCATCTCACTTATTTGGATACTTGTCCCCACTTTCGGAATTACTTGCGTGTTCGAATGCATTTTATTTTTTTTCTATTAAATGGCTCGATGTCAAATTAGTGGTTTTTATCCTCGTCAAGAATTTCACCTTTGTTTTTTTCCCAATGGAAAGTATTTGCTGGAATTATTTGTAGATAATACTCCTCTGCTCCTAAATATAAGACTCATTTTATAATGTAAAATTACATTATAAAATGAGTTTTATATTTAAAATTGTACGAGTAGCATCTGTTTTCCAATAATTAAAAACATTCACAAGGTAAAACTTTCAATTCTGAAAGATGTGACTTGGGGAACATGATCATTTGCCAAGCATAGGACATATATATGTAAGTATATATAATGAAACATTTATGAAAGAAAGCAATTAAATGAGATCGATTTATTCACGAGGTGACCTCCCAAAATCAGATGAACTGAGACATCACCACCCTCGTTCCTAAGTTGACACAGGATTCAAGTTTTCCTTAGCTGCATCCTTTGAAAATTCATGGAGGACGACCGGTTTTTCGAGCACGTCACTTACAGTAGATAATAACTCATGTGAAGTGAACCCATCGTCCTTCAAGTAAAGAGATACAAACTTTTGCCATGTTCCAAAACAGATTCTTGCAAGCTCTTGGAATTGTGCTACCTTCTTCCTGCAAAACCAGTCTCAGGAGCTCTCTTCTGTTTTCCTCAATGATATCCTTCATCTCCCGAATCAGATCTTCTTCAGTAACATCCCCACCCCTTTGAGCAATTCGCAAAGTGAATGCATTCAATTTCCCTTGTGCAGATTCCTCTGCAAGAAAGACAGAAAACATCAGACACTTTCAAAACTCCAAACCATTTCAACTCTAATTTGAACTCAGAAGTGAAAGCAACGATTGATTTTATTAACATCTCCTTTAGGATCAACGGGAATCGAACTACATATCTTAGCCACAGGCTTTGACTATTTGACGCCACCTTAACATTTATTTCAGTTGACTTAAGTTGTAAGGTATAAGCTCTTGATTAGTTTTATGAATGTCTCTAGCAGAAGACAGGCAAAGCAAGTCCAAATTTTCTCCACTTAATTGGGAAAAAAAATTCATTTTGAGAAAATCCTACATAGGATCGTTAAAAGGTTTCTTTTCATTGCAGATAAATATGCTTAATGAGTTTGTTGTTTCGTACTGTTCGGATAGGCTAGCAGATTAAATCAGTTCTAACTGATGGTCATTTTCCCACTTAAAATTGAGAAGATGCTTCGGCAGCAA